GCTGTCTACTGAGCAACCTACTCTTTTTGCTGGTCCATGGGTTTCAGAAGCCAGAAGGCTGATTGACTGGCTGTGGTCAGGATCATGATAGCTGGTTTGCTGAAGATTGGATTGATGGTATTGTATAGGAGTATTAGCTCCTATTGATTTGGATTGATGGAGCCATATATATGGCTCACTTTAGAGCAGTGGATGAAGTCTATGGCATTGGTTGAATCTTAAACTTAGACTTGTATACTGGCAAGTCATCAAGTTGATCTTCCAGATGTCTTCTATTATAGGTCAAAATAGCATATTTAGTGGTGAAATATTGTAAAATATTCCACCATTCTAAATTGTCCATGTGAATATACTTCTGCCTCATGGGAGAGGCTAGCCATTTAGCATCTCACCATAAGAACATTACTCCTTCTTCATACAGGTCCTGATACTCCCCTTTCCTAGCCCTCTGTATTTTTTCTTCTAATGCTTCTTCATCTGTATCATCTTTTGCATACCTCATAAAGTCTTCCAGCCTATAGGGGTCTTCATTCTCCTCCTCATCATCCTTGACCTCACTGCTCACCTCATCCTTGCTGTTCTCAGTGAGGGAGCTTCCTGGCTGGTTATAAATGGACTGGGCAGAGGCTTTGACTGTAGCTGGTGAACTGGTCATTGACTCAAGTGCTGGGTCCAGCTTTATTGATGGCAGATCAAGGAGTGGATTGAGAAGGAGACTGGTTGATAGGTCAGCCAGTGCCAACCTCAACATCTCTGCAATGACTGCTGCACACTCAGTGTTTCTCTAATTCTCAGTGATAGATGTGAAAGTTTCAGTAATATCAGGGGTTAAGGAAGAGCACTGCAATTCTTCCACTCAGGAATCACCTAAGACTGTGGTCAGAAATGTGAGCATTTCTGGAGACTCAAAGCCTGTAGGCATCAAGTATGGATTCAGCATGGGAGGTGATGGTATCAATATTGGTGATACTGTCAGTTCAGAGATGGAGGAGATATGTGATGCATCAGATGGCTTCACTAGCAGTGACTACCTCAGCTGATCCTGCCCAAGGGTTGGTCTCACTTCATGTGAGGATGCTGAGCTCTCTGAAGGGGAGGTCTGAGGTTTCCTGGCCATAGTAGAATGGGAAGCTGGATCCTCAGATGGTGGCTTCCAGATGGTGCTGCTCACATTGCCACTGTCAGTTGTACTGCTCATTTTCATATTGAGCAAAAGCCTGATCTGCTGCATTCTCTGCAGCCATTTGGACTTGCTCTCACTCTTCTCTTTCCACCCTGGCCTACTTGGCTCAGATAGCAGGAAATACATAGCTTCCTAGTGTGTCTGGTGAATAATGTCAGGGACTCCCAGCCATATAGGGCTGGATGTGAAGCCTTCTGCTCTCATTGATCCCAGCTGTGAATCCTGCTGTCTATGGTTCTCACAGCTCTTCATCATTTGACTGGAAGTTGGTGGCCTCATAACTACTATAGTCAGTATAGACTGATGAGACAGGGCTTCCTGCCAGCATAGCATAGAGAGAGTTGTATCCTGAGTTTGGCAATACACTTTAGGATCTTGAAGCCATCTGAGAGGCATCAAGGGAGTCCCTAGCATAGTCTCCAACCCCAGGCCCTCTTGGAGCAGTGGAAGGGTTGGAGGATGGCAAGTCATTAAAGAAGTCTTTGGAGAGATCTTTGTCTTCATAGTTAGAGATGGGAGGAGAGACCCATGGGTTTCAGAATCTAGTGAGATGATTGTTGCTGTCTCAGTCATCTGTTCTTCAGGGTCTAAAGGGGTATCAATGTTCTTCCTCCTCTTGAACATTCTCTGGATGTGAGCTGCTAGACCTAGCTTTGGGTATGATTCCTGGTGGAGGCTGAAAGGAGACTCTGGCAGAGGTGGAGATGTTGTAGAGAGGGAGGTTGGATGTGACATTTCATAAAACTTATTGAATGTGCTGAAAAGCCTGATAGTGTCTGACTATCCAAGCAGTGACTGATTGTCATCTTCAGTACAATTGTATGATTGCCAATAAACCTAAAAGCATGCCTATGATAGCTGCTAGTAGTTTAAAAAAGTTGTTGATTAGATCAGGAGTTGTAGTAGGTATGGATGGCATTCAGTTTCCTTCATGCTTATTGTGCATAAAGAAAGGAAAGCAGGCAGCTTCAAGCTAATTGTTAGACTCAGGTTGCATGTGATCAAAACATATAATAAACTAGTGTTGTTTCACATTCAAACCATCCACTAGAGTTCACTATTATGCTTTGTTGACCAAATACCTCAAGGCCTTTGCAAGATAGCTTGAGAATGAAATGAGATAAATAAACTTTAGCTTAAAGCTGGGGTTATACCAGCAAGAGCCATCCTACTTATATACTACAGACTGTTCAACTATAAATAATACTATCTATTGTGTTTATGCCAGTCATTATGCCCTTTGTTCTTAGATGTCATTACTACCTACAAAAAGTCCATTGTGCATTGTCAAGCATTGTCATTGTGTCAGAAGACAATGACAAACTAGGCCTGTTGTAATGACTAAGCTTATCTCATAGTCTTAAGCACTGGGCTTAGTGCTCTGACTAAGTATAAATAGGAGTTAAAGGCAAAAAAAGAGCAAAAATCATAACACATACAGATACTGTATCTGTATTATCAGTGGGTTTAGTCTATTTTAGACTGTACAGATCCTATATGAGTATCTAAAAATGGATAAATTAGTTAGTTTTTTCAACTAATATGAATATAAATGATAAAAGCTGACTATTTCTGCTACACTGGGCTCTGATTTCCACTCTTATGGATAATCATCAGTATATATACAGTAATGATGGCTATCACTATCACTGTACTATCAAGGCCAAATTTTCTGATAGTTGACAGTCATTCTCTATATAGCTATACATCATATACAGTACAGTGCAAAGCCTTAGAATTTATATCAGTCATCACTGGCTTGAATATCACTTGATTATAGTATAATAATTATATCATAATCCTCTCAAAATCTATAAACACTGTCTAGATTTTCAGATCTGCTGTAGCTTAGACCACTCAGCAATCTCCTCTAATAATTCTACTTTCATTGCAAAGCAGATGGAAATGAGAGAGGTCAGAGAGTGAGATAGAAGCTCAAGTTCTAATTAGGCAACTCAATAGACACAGTCATACAGGTGAGCTCTGCTATCAGCCAGCACTCTGCCTGCCCACAAACTGAGATGGTCTGATACAATAAGAATATGTCCTGCAATGAGTGACAGTGTTTCTCTGGAGATATTTATGTATCTTTTTTTTGCTCAAGTGAAGAGCTTGCAGTAGTCTAACTTGTTTAAAGTTTACTCAGAATTGTTCAATAAATAATGTATGATATATATTCCTGCTTAGAATAACACTCTTTCATCTATTTCATCTATATCTGCCAGTTCTTCATTATCCTTCTATTTATTTTCATTTAGCTGCTTTTCCCACTCAACTCAACTATTGATATCCAAAAGATTGGTTTTCAGCATAGAGAGAGATATGACTGTCACAGTTTGCATAGAGTCATTGGAGTTATCTGATTTACACAAGAGTAAGAAAAAGAGAAGATGTTGCTTCATATCTCCAGGAATCAAACTTCTTTGTTCTTTTGTCAATGGTGAGACTCTTTTATTGTAAGTATCTGCAAAATTACTTTGATAAATCATTTTTATTCAGATCCTCCAATCAAGACAGTTTCTTACATCTCACATCATCTGTCCAGACCAACCTCTACTCTGGTATTCTCTCATAGACACTGAAAAGCTGAAAATCTACTGTTATGATAAACTTATCACCAATCTATTTTGGATCAAGAATGAATAGATCAAGAAGTATATCAATATTCCTGAGACTGTTGTATATAAGTGTAAGTGACTGCTTCAAATTTCTGCAGTTTACTACTCAGTTCTATCTCTAAATAATCTTACTATGATACTCAATTCTTGTGACTGTTCTTACTGAAATTCTGCTAAAAAAAACAAGTATAACATTATAGCAGAGCTTCAGTGATAATGATCCTAAAACTCTGTAATGTTCTAATTCCATCAGCAGACACTCTTCACTGGATTAAGAAGGAATTCAGACAGGCATAGTTTGATAGAACCAAGTCAGTGATGGATGACTGCAATAGTCTAAACCACCAACATCTGCTTTGGATATTAGAATACTTTACACTTCAGACTTGCACTGCATTTTCTGGCAATTCTTGAGTGATTTTGGCAATTTTTCAGTGGTCAAAATAAAAGTTCAGATGAATTTTTTCAGATGAACCCTTTTAGCAAAATTTCTGACAAACTTGGACAAAAATTTCAAATATCTATCTCTATAGAGATCACTGGAGATTCTTAATTGCTGTATCAACAATCCTCCCTCTCTGACAGACCAGCATAAAACCATAACTTAACCCCTCCACCCTCTCTTCACCCTCCCTTCACCCTTCCTTCACCCTCCACCCTCCACCCTCTGAAGGTTTCATGCACAATCCTAGCGAGGACCAAAAAAGAACAAGTACACAGTACAAATGACCACCGCAGGACTCGAACCTGCAACCTTTTGGTAACCATTCAGCAATCGAAGCCAAACGCGCTACCATTGCGCCAGGTAGCCACATTAGTAGTAGAGAATAGCAATATATGAAATATCAACATGAGGTGTTAGTATGATTTACTTACCACCTACAGAATCAGGAATGTACTTGTGCTCTTGGGGTGGTTGTTCAACGATTACCAGCTTCTCAGGGTGCAAAGAAGACTCTGTGACCCACTTAACACATCCAATATGTCCTGTTCTGGCTGAAAGGAAAAACGCATCTTCTCATAGTGGGTTCCCGCAGTTGCAACTAACGAACTGCACTCTCATATGGCGAACCACCCTTTATCCAGCTGCGAACGATGTTACAAGATGGTGGCAAAAAGCCATGAACAAGCTACCTGAAGCCGAGAACAGTGAGTGAGAAAACAATCCACAAGCACTACAAGAGAAGAGAGCACCCCACCTAACTAAACCCTAAAAACATTTCTCCCAGTCCCCGTCCCCATCGTTCCTCGCATATGCCTGGCTCTCGACGAACGCGTCCAACGAACATAACCCATCCCCACTCCCACAGAACGCCAACGGCTGCACCGCATCGTTCACCAAAACCCTCACATGCTCCTCACCCGCGCATTCCAATTTCTCAGTCATCATGGTCGCCGAGAACGACACGAGCCTCGAGGCAAGCCAGCTGCGGTTCGGATCTGGGCTCGTCGGGTCAAGATCGGCACTCTGGGGGAAGAGCCCCATGGCGGCGTATATAGCTATCATCTGATTGTCATGCGAGAAGTCTGCGTAGATGGTGCGATTGAGGGGGAAGGTTTCCGGGTTGGAGTCAAGGGTGTGGTTTGTCTGGGTGCTGTCCTGAACTGGGGAGGAAGTCAGCCGCGCTAAGAGCTCGTTGACGTATCCAACACCCTGGACTGGCCCCAGTTCTTGTCCATATCTGCGAAAGATTGCGAACTGTCAGCAATCGGAAAGGAAGAACTGAATGAATGAATGAATAACAAACCCCGTGCCATAGTACTTGTCTAAATCTCCCGAGTATTCGAAACCCTCAAAGTCCGCAGGCTCGAACATGTCGCAGAAAGGACTACGCTTTTCCTTAGCCACGGAATCGAAGGGACACATCGAGAGAAGACTGTATGTGTCAGCGTTGGAGATGTTTGCACCAGGAGCACCGTCATTGATACGAGCTGTTATGGTAGGAGCGTAGACGGCCAACCAGGCGTTGGTTTCTTCATCGGAGTTTCCAGCGTTTTCACACATATTGTCGTCGAGAGTATCGTTCGACTGGGAAAGGTTTCATGAGTATCGGCAAAAAAAAAAAACAAAGTAGTTCCCACTCACGTCTTCAGACAGAATCACGGATAAAGATGGGTTGTAGACATGATAACTGGCAGCTGAAAATCCTGCAGTCCAGTTCATTGCTGACTTGATAACCCTGTCCGAGCCTGAAGCTCGAACAAAGGGGATATGGTCTTGATCGACAATATACGAATACCTTTGGAAGAAGGTCTCTCCGGATTGATATGCCCTGCAGCATAAGTTAGATCACGAACGCTAATCAAATAGTGACTTGCTGTGCTGCACCAAACGGGAGAAGATCGGCAACTCCCAGATCGTATGTATAATTGACCAAAAACTGCATGCGTTCATTCGTGTACGAGCCAACGGCAGTTAACTTATCGATGGCGGAGACAATCTGAGCAGCAGAACCGCTAGTGGGATAGCGCGCGCCATGTCTTTCAAGCTGGTGCAGTTCTTCAGTACCACACCTTCGGATATAACGATACCCCAAAACACTCACAAGGTTTACCTAGCATTCTCATCAATACCAGCACAACAGAGCATGGTTAATAACCTCCTAACCTGGGTCACTATACAGTTGCTAGGCACATGGTATTCCGCCTGAGAAACAAATGGAGAATACTGGGCCCAATTCGGCGAGAATGGAGCAACAGAGAGATTCGCCTCGTAGGATCCAAACGAGTAAATGGGAAAATACAGTGCCAGCCCAATCCAAGCTGCAACTGAGACCCACATCATCATCATGGATCTCCGCGAAAAGCTCAAATTCTTCTTCAAACGTGTGGGCGAAGTCGTTGCCAGGGTGTTACTAGTCAAGAAATTCGAAGAACGCATGACGGGGCCGGGAGGAGCAGCCGGTGCTCATGGAGGCCAGAAGTGCGGGGCAAACATGGGAAAGGCAACCGAGTCTCTCAAACGTGCGTGGCAAGTTGTACGACAAGTCTATTCTGGGATATGTCACTAGTTGCGTCACGGCCGCTGAATCCCGAGGATCGACCTATCTCCGTAATAGGAAGTCGGATCGTCAATCGTATTTATGCGACAGGATGGTCCTCAAACCAAGTTATTATTGTTTTTATTTTATTTTCATCGTTTATGTCACGAGAGCATAATATCGAAGCCAGCTGTATCTACATGAGCAGAGCAAAAAAACCGGTGACCTTGTCTGAGCTCAGGTTTTGCTCGTTTAACGTACGGTTCAGTACTGCACTTATAATTCTTCCATCACCCCGCCTGGTCTCCATATACTTTCAAGGCTCTTTCGCCAGAGAACGCACGTGCCTGATTCACTCCATAACCATGCACAATTACAAGACTGAAGTTACCGCAATCAATGCGACGAGAAGACTATTTATTATACAACAGACATGGTATCATAGCAAAAACGGGAGAAAAAATCTAGGGATGGATGCAGTGTTGGCGATGATATCTAAGGGATGCAAATTAAACGAACAGGAAAATTACGCATGCACAAGACCGCTCTTCAATCTCTGCTTGCTCGCAATGTTCGTCAGAGTTTCTCCGAAAGCGTCCACATCTACGGCTGTCTCGCTGAGGACCGACGCGCTGAGACTGTTCATGATGCCAGCAGTTTTTAATCCGGGGCGAGAGACTTCGCCCCTAGTCCATTCCTCTACGAGAGGATGCTCTAGCGACGGCGCATACCTACAGGACTCGAATAGCTCCAAGTGTCGGGTAAAATTGGGAGACGGCGAAAAGAGGGGAAGAGCTTGGAAGAAAGCACTCATAAGCCACAAAAATCTAGAGGAAGAGATATGCGAGACGTACCTTCTTGGATACAGGAAGACACCTGCTTAGGCGTTAGGTTTCGCAAATACATTACTAGCGATCAACGATCAGAGAGTCAATAGGTTATGTATGTGTCATAGACGTACGGTAAGCTCCAACAACGATACAGGCTCTTGATTCCATGATGGAATGAACAAGAACCACGCCGTTATCAGCGACAGCATCGCGAATGAAGCGACAACAATCAGGAAGGGTAACGAGCAGGTCGGCCCGGTTCTCGCCATGGACACTGAAATGTCGGTGCCCCACAGTCGACGGCAAGTCTGGCATCGTCGCAGGGGCCAGCGACAAAACATGCGTGACACCAAGCTCTAAAATCAACCACTCTGCTTGCTTCGCGTCCGTCGGAAACTCACTGCGAATGGGCCAGAAAAAAATATATATATCAGCGACGTCATCAGAAAGGGATTTTAGGGGAAAAAAGAAATATTTTTTAACCTGCTCAGAAATACTTGATCGGGGATTATGGGCGTTGTGTCGATCATGCGGTTGAGGAAGGCGGTCACGTTCTGGTGCTGACGCCGTTTCCAGGAGATGTAGGTGGGGTGGGAGGGGCTCGGCGCATAAGCGCAGTCAGCGAAGACGTCCAGCTGTTTGATAAATCCATAATTTGGATGGGCACATGGTCGCTCTGGTGAGGGGGGAAAGGGTGCCGAAATGCAAATAAATAATGAGAAGACGTGCGCCGTGAGAGGGTAAAATCATCAGGTGATGCTACAGCACCTTTCTTAATTAACTTCAAGGCTGTGGAGGTATTTATTCCCCTTGTTTTCATCACTGACGACAAGGGTAATAAGATAAGAAATAGATAGTGCGAATAGATTTACTTACGGTACGCGGCGACAACGGTGGTACTTCTTGAGATTCCCATCACACAGTGCACAAGGACGCAGCCGCCCTGGGCAAGGGCAGACTCAATGAACGCGCATGCTCTGGGAAGATGTATCAAGAGATCATCGTACTCTGAATCGTCCACAGCAATGGCCAAATGATGGGGGCCCGTGGAGGAATATTCAGGACACACGGAAACAATATGCGTGATCCCAAGCATACTACGTTGCCCAGCAGACATCGCAGAAGTCAAACTAAGAGACAAAAAACAAAAAAAAAACAAAAAAAAACAACATCAACGTCAGACTGAGACAAAGGCGCGCCACCTGGACGTACTTTCCAAGAAATAGTTGTCCCTTGACGATTTCACTGAAGTTGGCGGACATGTGGGATTGTGAGGACGCGCTGATGGTCATGGTGGTAGAAAGGCAAGAGCCTATAAGGGCTCGCCACGGTCCAAATAATAAGAACTCGATAAGAAAGCCAAGATCGGAAATGACCAAAAATAATTGCACCGGACCGGGATGCCTGTTCGGGAAGAATCGATGCAGCTCAAATTGCCATCGAAGCCGAATTCTTCCGGAGATCTCGAGCACTCTCGGACTCACCCAGTATTGTTTTTTACAAAGTTCCTTATCTTAGTGTCACTATTAACGGTTAAACGTGCTGAGGAAAAGGAAGCGAAAAGGAGCTTGGAAATTTTCCGAACGTGCACCTTCACAAAATTTGCATTTGTGAAGGAGAGGGGGAGGAGGGGGGAACGTTGAAGGACGACAGAGCAGAGTAAATATTTTCGACGTTCATTTCCAAATCACGTCCACCATCATTCCGGCACTCAAATTTGACACAGAAATCATGATGTTTCGTCCCATTATGTGATTGAAATCAAAAAATGACGACTAGGGTAAAGATATATATAGAAGTCCATGTGAAGGTCCATTAAGTATTACACGAGCCAAAACATGTTCAACCACTGCAATGCAAAGCAATTCGAAAGAAAGAAAAAGTCGTGAGAGACGTTGCCAGGAAGTCCGGTTATATGCGGAATAAAAGGGTCATAATGTAAATGAGCGTTTACGAATCCGACAAAATTTCGTCGATGGATTTGTTGAGGAAATCCTTACGGGATCCGAGGTCCGCCATAGGGAAGCGCGCGGCCATGGCTTCACGGGCAGTTCTGCAAAAGTCCGATAAATAAAAATATCACAGTAGAATAGAACACGAAAACACGTACTTCTTGGATACGGTCATCAGATCTTGTGTACTAAGATAGTTCCGCAGAGCCGCAGCCAACTCTTCATCCGAAGGGTTAGGGTTGTTGTTAGGACCTGCGAAAGGATTAACGGTCGTGGCCAATGAGTACGTCGATATCGGCCGCTGGTCGCCGCCTCCGAAAGGCAGCGTTGGTGGCCCAAATCCGCCCGAATGTCCTGACTGCGATCCGCCTCCTAAACTGCCACCAAGTGTGTTCATAGGCATCATCGGGTTTGGTTGAGCCATACCGGGCGGCATCATACCGTACATGCTTCCGGTGTTCTGATATCCCATCTGAGGCATGCCCATGCCCATACTGCCTGCAGTATGCTGATAAGGCATGCTACCAGCCGTATTCACATACCCCATCTGGGCCATTTGCGGCATGTTCATTCCATACTCAGAGCCATGCACAGATCCGGGTCCACCAGCGAAAGGTCCCATGGATGAGCCGTATGGCGCCTGCTGAGCTGCACGATGCGACAAGTTGCTAATGGAGGGTTGACTGCCAAGTCGTAGGTTGGGATTGGACGAGTTGTTGAGCGTCAAATTCGTATCACGGTAGTAATCACCAGCTTGAGAAGCCTGGTGGTACGTGTGCGGCGATTCTTCCCTTGAGCCATTGGGACGAGAGCGGGGCTTACTACTGTGTCCCGTAGCGTCGGAATGACGTGAACCAGTTTCCCAAGCCTCAGCTTCATATTCTGCATTTTGAAAGATCAGGGCTTTGTCAGTGACCATATCAGGAGTGCCGCTTACCGCTGAACTTCTTCAAGGGTATCATAGACTCGTCGAATTTCTCATCCTCGTTGATGATGACCTTCTTTTCCTTGCCTTCACCAATGACGAGACGAGTGTTACCCCAACCGAATTCGTCCATGCACCAGAAGGAATACACCGGCAAGAAGAAACTATAAACCGGATACCTGAAAACAATTAGACTGCATGCAAAAAGTCGGACACGCTGGACCTACGAAAGAATGTAAACAACCATCCAGCCGACGAGCATGAACTCCCGTTTGAGGATGAAGACCAAAGCCTGGGTATTTGTCAGCAAACACAGACGACAGGAACACACAAAGCATGCTGAGTACTTACCTGCAAGCCATACGTAACTGCCAACATGATGATGGCGATTTCAGGGAACGCCGAGGAGCCAGTCGATACAACGATAATCAGATACAGCAGCTATGCCAGACACGTCAACGAAAGAATCCCAAAAGAAGCTAAAAAAAAAAGACGTACATAAACCATAGTGGCAGGTAAGATCTGGCGCGGGACCCCGTTAGACAAGTACAAGCCCGATGCAAGAAATCATATACGCACCAAAGTTCCCAGTAGATCAAGGAATACGAAGAATCGCATCGAGAAACAGCAAAAACCAATAAGCTCAGGCAGTAGAATCAACTCGCACAAATTATGAACAGTGGAGTTAATCCATCGACGACGCTGAGAGAACAGCACGCGCCAAGACTCAGGGGCCATGGTACGAGCGATCGCGTCTGCACAAAACTTGGTCTTGAACGTGGGGAAATGTTTCATCAACAGCGTCGTCAAGAAACGATCTTCTCCGAGCGAGAATAGATTCTTCTTGTGTAGAGTATCGACGTTGGGCTCTGCGTACTCGTCAATGATCCGGTTAGAGATGATGATGGGTCGCCCCTTGTCGGCAGTCCGAATCCGATATAATGAGAAACAACCCGGCAAACAGGTCACTGAACCGAACAGACTCTCAAAGGCTTTCGAGAGATGGTGAGAAAGGTAGTATTCGTAGACCTGGATCATTGTCCACCAAGACATATCTTCGTTCTCGAGCTTGGTTTCACCGCATATGCCAATGATACTGGAGTCATCAGCGGCCGACGACACTAGCCGGTTGAGAGATTCAGGCGTAACAGTCTGTAAGAGATGATCTGTCAGTAACGCTCATGAAATCGAAAGGTGTGTAAAATCACCGTATCAGCATCCACCGTGAAAATATACTCGTAAAATGCCGGGTCTATACCGATAACGTTCCGCATCTGATGATATATCTCGAGCTCCAAAGGCGACATAGCAGCATCGAAGTGGACGCGGTTCAAATAGTGCATGAGAAGAATCTGACTATCTCGTTTACCACGATTACCAGGCTTCGAGCGCTCCGTAGGTTTGCCAACTTTAACGACGACCATGTAACTACAGATGAATCAGCACGACGCAGAGCAGAAGCGACAGAAACGACATACGGAACGACGTGTCCTTCGAACTCGTACAGACCAGAATAGACTTTCCCATAATTCAACGCCTTGGAACCTTCACCAACGGATTTGAACAATAGAGGCTCAGGATCGAGCTTTGGGTCAACGCCAAGAATGTCCAGAACAATTCGAGGTGTCGAACGATCGTTACCACTACCGAAGATGTTACCATCACAAATGATGAAGATCAACTTGCGTTTGTCATCATAGTTAAGAGCAGCAAGGGAATCAATCGTGCGGCGCAACGAGTCCTCTCCCTCTGTGTAACACGGCACCTGACACAAGATGAATTTATCCTGAAGTTCTGGACTGCGTTTACTGCCGAACTGCAATGCAGAAAGGACTAGGGAAGAAAGTCAGAACACGTTCATCGGTCAAGGCAGGAAACAACGAACGCACATTTCAGCACCACAGAAGACATGATAATAATAGTAAAGACGATCAGCAGGTAGTTTTGCACTTGGCATCGAGCCGTTTTGCGGAAATCTGTTTCCCCGACGTAAAAGTTGTTCTTGAGACAATTGATGTTCTGATCGCGATAAGTCTCGTTCAAAGCTTCCAGGGCTGAAACGAGTTCACTCGTAACGTCTTGGCCCGCTTGCTGTTTGAAGACGTCTTCAATACTACTGTCCAAAAATTCATAGGACGTATCCGTCGAATACGTGTCCTGCGTATAGAAATAATCTGTCAGATCGTACAGACCATCGTCCCATACAGCCCAAATTCTTGAATGATCAGTAAACATGCATGAGTAAAGACGAGCTGGTGCTTACTTCGCTATATCAGTGTCGCTTGCATCCGCTTTTATCGTGCTCCAAGAATACACAAGTGGCCCTTTGTAGTACTTTTCCATCTTGGGAAGGAAAGTCGCGCTGTACCAATCAGAGTTGGCCAGTTTACTCGAGGTGTAAGAGGTCAAAGCACCCGACGTATGAACGGCAGTAGGGACGGAATCGGAGAAGTTCTTGTTGGTCAATGCCAGGGTATCATCAGTAACGAGAACCGCACAACCAAGGACGAGAGGAACCGGGAAGTAGTAAGTCATATCGGAACCGGCCAGGGTCTCTAGGCTGTCAGCACCATTACTAGCTGTGCCAGTCACATCACTATGATCTCCTTGCACAAAGTTCGTCATATCGTACACCTTGCCCTGCACGGAAACCCACCAGTCACTGTCGCCCTGGTGCTCAGAAACCTCGACCGTGTTCCATGCCTTGTCATAGTTAGGACACAGCAATCGACCGAATTCGACGATGTAGAAGATGACGATGGCGTTAAAAAGGAAAATGAGCAAAAAGATGGTGACTTTCTCTCGCCAGGCAAGCCGGATATCAGGACGCTTCATCCGGCCCATCCAGCTTAAAAGGAAGTCTGGCAACCAGAAGGTGCAGGTCCAAACCATCCCAAGCCAGACGCGCCGTGAGCGAGACGAAGGCACTTCTTCGACGGCATTCCCCACTTCCTTAACCACAAGCCCGTCTGCCTCTTTCGAAGGATTGTTGTAAGGCTGTGCCCCATTCGACGAAGCTCCACCTGACTTGTCCCAGTACTCATCCTCGTTGTCACGATCTGGCCCGAACCCTCTCTGCGTGTTCGACAGATTGGGCGTAAGCAAACCTCCTTGACCGTACACCCCAACGTTCGGATCGCGATACTGCGTCCCGTGGGAACCGGTACGCGCCAGCAACAGATCTTCCGCGCTCTCCTGTCCGACGTCAGGGGCCAGCCCTTCCTGGTGGGTATACTCGGTGGTATCGTCTCGCTCAACACTCTCATCCTCGTCATCTAACATGCCTCCTTCTTTCATAAGTTTTCGGGTTTCCTTCTCTGACGCACGGAGAGGATCCTCTACCATCTTCCATGCAGAGTACGAAAGCCAGATCATGCGATGTCCAAGCGCATAGTCCACACCCTCTTTCCATCCATTGGCGCGGGCGCACTGCGTTATCCTCTCCATCTCCGACCCCCGCATCGTTGGCACATAACGCTCGCAGAACTCTGACACTTCGTAGTCCGAGATGTACTCCACGCTGCGCCTAGACGCCAGGTCAGGTAGAAGTAGCGCCCGGACCTGCGCTTTCACTCGCCGCTTGTCAAATGAGTTCGAAGAGCCAGAGTCGTTGGGACGTATGCAAGAGACTGTCCAAAGACGAGCATGACTGATGGTAGCGAAAAGGTTGGCGAGGGTAAAGTTGATTTGGGTCGTCACGGGGTACGTCTTCTGGCGGTCCAATTCCGGGAATTCCTCCTGCGTCGGAGAGCTAGAGGATATAATGGGGGTGGGAGACCGAAGGGGTAGTGACGAAACCTGGGCTTGCACGACAATACTTTCATCCCTGCTGTGCCTCTCGGCGGCCAGTGAAGGACCCGAGAAAAGTTTCACCACAAAAGCATCCGCGGAGTTGCGCATTAGAGGAACAAAAGCGGAATCCAAAAGGTCCGTGTCTTTCTCAACGAAGTCCATGACATCATACGAACAAGAACCGGCATAGTGGTTAATGCCGAACATAGTTTTGCTAGTCGCACCAGCAGGACTCGCAACAAAAGATGCATGGACACCAAACTTGGTTACAAGGTCCTGCAGCAAATCCTCGTTACGAAGGTTCCCACCCTTGCCCGACTTGAACGAGGAACACGCCTTATTCAGAGAGCCCAACACGCCACCCGGCTTTCGCTGGGGCCGTTCACCGGTTTGAGGTCCCCGCATGAGCTCCACGCAGGCCAGATTGTCCATCGTGGAAATTGACGGTAGTGAGAGACCATCGCCCGAAATCTGACCATTGTACCCGACAGTGTCCTCGAAGATATAGCGCTGAACGTACGAGTGGAGCAACTCGTCGGAGAAATTTATACAGAACTCATCAAACCCGTTCTGGCCATACGCGGAAATCAGTGGCGTAACCCCCGAAAGCGCCATGGATCCAGTACCCGTGGGACCACGTGTCTGGAAGCCAGGCTGGTCGAGGATAACAACCTGGGTATGGGGAAGAGGATCTTTCTGTGATGGCGCAAGTTTATGATTGACGGTCTCCACGACGAAGGAAAACAATATGGCGTAGAGATCGCGAACAAACTGGTCCCGTTGAACTGCGGCCTGCTCGGCATTGAGAAGGCTTGTGTAAAGCTCCTTACGAACATAACTTGTCTTAGTCGTAAGTGTCTGGCTAAGGTCTTCAGACATGACACCGAGGAGACGTGCTATCTGATCAAGTGCGGGGGTGTTGGCGACGTAAGCGGCAAAGTCATGGGTATCTCCATCATGAAACTGGAGGTTGCCAAGGAGGAGGATGGCGATTAGAGTGGAGAAAATGGAGGACATCGCCTTGGGCTTGAAACCAAGAGCCCGCATGGCTTGTCGCAACTCGCCCATCGCTATGGAATCATCACTGAACGGGCCGGCTGGCAGACGATATGTTCCCGACGACGCAAGAAGGGCATAATCGGAGGGGTCTTCTATGTTGAGATTGTCTCTCTCCGTGGTAGTCGCACCGGCAAGGAATTGATAAAAGATATGGTATGTCCGCTCCTCCTGCGTTAGCCGGTTGAGGCGCGACTTGTCCAGCCCAAATGCAAGGACCTTTGCTGAAGATATCCGACCCCGTTCATTGAAATGCAGCTCAAGATATCGGGTGTGGCGGGACGCATTGGGGCTCATGAGCGTTTTCGCATTGCCGAATGAATCAAGGATGGTTCCGAGGGCTTTGATCTGGTCGGCAAGCTTCGCCTCTTTGTTGGAATGGCTAGAGAGACGAAGTATCTGGCTGATGAAGAGACGTATACTCGACGATTTCCCCGCGCCAGTGATACCTCTGGGAATGTCGCGTTAGCGGTAAAAAGTGGCAGTTCAGTTCAGGGACTACACACCTCGACAAAAGAGCCTGCGACTCATTCCTACGCCTCATTACGAGGTATACCCTTGCTGCAAGGTCGTATAAATGCGGCTGAAGAGGCTTCGGAGTGTCCACCATGGGAAGGGTGGTGTCCTTGTAGCACCGCTCTTCATACTCTTTTGCGCTGATATCGTTGACATTGGCGAGCGTCTTGTAGGGATTAACGACGACCAAATTGGATGCGCCGACTCTAGTGTAGGGTAGATCTGCTCGAAAGCGGGCCTGAAGAACAGCGAGAATAGCGTCGTCAGAAGGATAGATGGTGGCCGAACCTGAAGACGACACAAGGTCGACCAGGTCGCCAGAGGCGGTAGCCTGGGTAGAATTTGAGGCCATAGCCTAGAAGGAACGGTGAAAAGACGCTCTCGGCTCTGTTCAAGACGATGACGAACCCAAAGAAGAGGCAAACGGCAGGTGCATAACAAACGGTGGGAAGGTCACACCGTGATGGCTGGTGCCACGTGAACTGAGACAACAGAAATAATATACTTCCATTTTGTCTCATCTTACCTCGACCCGGGCTGCCATGCTGTTTGAAGTAACCGTACGTGTCTCAGAAGGCGTTTTTCTTTTTTTTTTTCTTTTTTGACCATATATCCTGCAGAAAAAACAACTCCACCGGTCGGAACGGGTCAAGGGCATCGATTTTCACCCTACCGAGCCTTGGCTGCTCACTGGACTCTACAATGGCACCGTGAATATCTACAACCACGAAACCGGCGCCCTAATCAAGACATTTGAAGTCGCAGAGGTCCCAGTGCGATGCGTCAAGTTCATTGCGCGCAAGAACTGGTTCGTTGCCGGATCTGACGACTTCCAGCTACGTGTCTACAACTATAACACCCATGAAAAGGTCGCCGCTTTCGAGGCACACCCGGATTATATTCGGTGTTTGACAGTGCACCCGACGGCCAGCATCGTCTTGACGGGCAGCGATGACATGACTATCAAGGCTTGGGACTGGGATAAGAGCTGGAAGAATATCCAGGTACGTGGAGGTCCAGAGGGCGTACACCTGTTGTTTTTTTGACTTGATCGCCAGATATACGAAGGCCACACACATTACATTATGAATCTTGCCTTTAACCCCAAAGATTCCAACACTTTTGCCTCAGCCTGTCTCGACCGTACCGTCAAGATGTGGTCGATAGGTTCTCCCACCGCCAACTTCACCATGGACGCCCATGACAAGGGTGTCAACTATGTTGACTTCTATCCGGGCGCGGACAGGCCCTACCTCGTCACCACCGGCGACGACAAGACAGTCAAGGTCTGGGACTACCTCAGCAAAAGCTGTGTGCAGACCATGGAAGGCCACACGAACAACGTCTCCTTTGCTATATTCCACCCCAATCTACCTATTATCATCAGCGGAAGTGAGGATGGAACGATCAAGATGTGGAATAGCGGCACATACCGTCTCGAGAATACCCTCAGCTACGCCATGGAGCGCGCATGGTGTATAGCCTTGAGGAAAGACGCGAATGAAATTGGTGTCGGGTTCGATGAGGGCGCTGTTGTGATCAAGGTATGCTTTGTTCGACTAGGCTTCTCACCCATCAGATACTCACTCTGAACTAGCTTGGTCGTGACGAACCAACCTTCAGCATGGATCCTTCTGGGAAGCTGATTTTTACGCGTAACCAGCAAGTTCTCTCTGGGAACGTCCAGATGATCCAACATGACGACTCCTCTCCTGCGTCCGATGGCGCACGCCTTCCCATTTCCCTCAAAGAAATAGGCTCGTCCGAAATATTTGCCACATCGCTCATCCACTCTCCAAATGGCCGGTTCGTCACGGTAGTTGGAGACGGAGAGTATATCACCTACACTGCCCTCGCATGGCGAAACAAATCCTTCGGAAACGGCATTTCATTCGCCTGGGCTCCTGATTCCAACACGTATGCCGTTCTCGAAAACAAAGTGAAACTACGGGTTTACAAGAATTTCCGAGAACGTGGCGGGGCTGGCATGAAAGGCGTTGGTAGCTGGTCGATGGATGGCATACATGGCGGAACCCTCTTGGGCGCGCGAGGATCTGGTTTCGTCATGTTTTGGGATTGGGAATCTGGAGAGATTGTGCGGAGAATAGACGTTGAGGCGCAGAATATTTACTGGTCAGGAACGGGCTCGTTGGTGGCCATCGTTGCTGCCGACTCGTTCTACATCCTGCGATTCGACCGCGACGCTTATAATGCCAAAATTGAGGAAGGTGCGGAGATCTCAGATGAGGGCGTTGAAGAGGCCTTTGAGGTTGTGGCGGATGTACAAGAAGGGTCGGTTTTTGAGGTGTTCAAGCTCATATATCTTCGCTTCGCTAATACCGTGCACGCAGAGTTCGAACAGCAAAATGGGTTGGCGACTGTTTCATATACACAACTACTTCCAAGCGACTGTGCTACTTTGTTGGCAGCGAGTCGTATACTATCAGTCCATTTGACACGTAAGTACGATAACGTTTTCTCCGCCCACTCTGAACTTGCGAGTCCAGGCCTCTATATCTCCTCGGTTACATACCTGCCCACAACCGCGTCTATCTCGCCGACAAAGATGTCAATATCTACGGATACTCTCTATCGCTCAGTGTCGTCGAATATCAGACGGCTGTTCTCCGCGGCGACATGACGGCGGCGGACGAAATTCTACCTATGCTCCCCAGGGAACAGCTAAACAAAGTCGCTCGGTTCTTGGAAGGCCGAGGTAAACCGTCCTTTCGCCTAATACATTATAACTCAGACATACACATATAGACCTCAAGGAACTCGCATTGAAAGTAACCACCGATCCAGATCACAAATTCGATCTGTGCCTCCAGCTCGATGACTTGGATACAGCCGTCGAGATCACCCGCTCAATCCCGGAGTTGGAAGCTGAAGCCAAGTGGAAGGCATTGGGCGACCGTGCGCTCACCGTCTGGCGCTTCGACCTCGCGCGGGAAAGCTTCGAGAAAGCTGGAGACCTGAGCGCTCTCATGCTTCTCCTGCTCGCAACTGGTGATCGCGACGGCCTGAAGGCCCTCTCGTCAAAAGCTTGTGAGGCCACGCTTTTTTCTCACCAGTTATCAAACCATTCACTGAACACACCGTAATAACAGCTGAGAAGGGCTTGAACAACTTGGCTTTTGCCACGTTGTTCCAGCTTGGGGATGCGAGCTCGTGCGTGGACCTCTTGATGAAGACGCAGCGAGCACCGGAGGCGGCGTTGTTTGCTAGGACGTATGCACCAAGGTGAGGATAATAACTCGACCGCGAGGGCGGGGGCGGGGGCATTATTTGTTACACGCTGACGCGGCCCTTCTGTGCAGCCAGGTGCCAAAAGCTGTTAACGCGTGGCAAGCAGATCTCAAGACCAAGAATCGACCCAAGATCGCCGCGTCTGTAGCGCATCCCGAGGAGAATGCAGATTTGTTCGAGGAGGGATGGGAGGATGCTTTGACGAAGGAGTCAGGTAAGCAGCATGTAATTTTTTTTTCCCCCCGACTAGTCATTTGCTGAAATCTGCAGGAAATCATAATGCTGTTTTGGTAGATACGACGCCGTGAGCCCCTGGGTGTTGTGCGCTGCTGCTCCTGTATCATTTGCTTCTGTTAATTAATTCTTTTTTCTCTGGGACTCAATTTTTTTTTTTTTTTGGCTACGTGAAAATTATGCTGGCACTCCAACGTAACGGATCACGCAGCGAGTCGAAAGTGGCTGACGCGAGCTTTAGGCGTGGCTTTGATCCCGTACTAGGTTAGGTCGAGGCGTGTTTGAAACGTTTAGCTGGACAATACCGGCGGGAGGGCGCGAGACTAATAATACAAAGGGAAAGCTTCGCATCGGGATGCGCGCGCCTCTCTTTTTTCTTTTGGGCATGAACTAGACTGCAGGCGGATTGCCGGGTGAGTTTGAGCGGAAGAGGAACACCTTGCTGCTGCTGCTGCTGCTTTCCAGAACCCGAAATCAGGGTTGTGGCACCCTTGTTTAAATAAAAACCGTGAGTAAAGCCACTAACTACTGTCCTTTCATTCGAATCAGAATGAGCACTTGTTGTTGAAGCACATGTTTACCTCTCAGTCAATATGATGCTGTAGTAACGACCGGTCTGGTTATATATGTGTTGCCTCTCCACTCTTTCGTTTTTCAGAAACAAAACACGTCTCTCTCGCTCCTCGGCCGTTGAGATATGTCACGAAGAAGAGGTTACGCTTTCGTCATCATAGTCAAGTTCTGATATCAATTCCTAGGAAACGCGCAAGGCGCCTCCCGGGCCCAGGATCCTCGTATCTCGTTCAGAGACGGACAATACAGGGGCAACAAATATGCGAGGGTATAAGATGCAGGCCAACGTAATATACAATCCAGTAAAGGCAATAGATGATGTACGAATTATATACAAAACAAAGATGAGTTCATACGAAAACAAAAAAAAAAAGTCACGGTGAAAATTTCCAGATACGTGATGACAGTGAAAAAAATGCAAAACATCGAAAAAAAAAAAGCATTAGAATAAACTAAAACACAGGTGAGGAACGCCCAACTATACGAAGGGGGGGCGGCTGCTACCGCTCCGGAATGAGCGTGACCTCATTCTTGTCTGGGGAGCTCGGCGCATCGAAATCAGGATCGAGCGGCGCTTGGTTGGCAAAATCTGCCCAGTCAGCAGGTAAAGGCAGGGTATAGTCATCACCTCGGTCTGACTCACGATCATCTTCTCCGACATCGGAGAGCTGTGTCGGCGACGATGTCATTACGCGGGAGAACATGATGTTACCAAAGGTAGGCGTCGCCTCTTCGGTATCATCGACCTCAACCAGGGGTGGCGGTGGCGGTAGAAACGCATATGAAGATGACTGCTGCCGTTGTGACGAAGAAGAGACGTTGGGTGATGAATGATGAGGATGACACAGCGAAAATGCGTAATCTGGAGCTGAGGAAACAGATGTTGAAAAGAAAGTGTAGATGTAGAATTCGGAATTATACGTTCCGGGTGGAGATTGGGGCAGGTTGGAGGCGTGCCAATATCGATGACCTTGGGGAAAACGTGGCGCCGAAACATTCGACGGAGTGGTGAAGATACTATCACCGGCAGTTTTGCACGGCCTGTACCGGGTACCCAAAGGGTTCCCACTAAAAAAAAAATTTAATGAACATGAACGTGGACATGGAAGTAGAACCCTTACCATACGGCACAGCCAACACCTTCGCGTACACATCCACAAGCGCTCCTAAGGATCTTGGCGACGGCGGAACGATCGAAATACGAAGAGCTCATGGCCACGACGGCATCTGATGCTTCGCTTTTGGCGGTCCATACTCCCAAACGCGGCCGGGGCGTAGCTCGCATATGAACGAGGGCCCCACAGCCGTTACTCCTACGGATTGTTCGCTTCAATGACGACGACGACGACGCCTGAGCAGTCGGCGGCGGATGCAGAGGCATGATAGAGGGCACAAAAGGACCTCTCGACTCTTCATGGAACAGGGTTTCCTCTGATACCACCTCCTCCTCGTCGCCTCCACAAAACAACATCCAATCGTACTCATCTTTCACATGCCGTGAAGCGTCCCGCTGGTCGCGCAAGTACCTCAAACTGCGGTCGTTTCTGCTCAGCGCTGGCTCGAGGATAGGGTCTGGGTCTTCTGGATCTGAATCCCATGGGGGTGCATCGACCGCGACTGCACCCGCACTCGGTGCAATTACATTGGAGGTTCCTGCTGCGTGGCCATGGTCGATTCTCATTGCACCCCGTCGTCGAAGGCGAGAGGCTTCACCGGTCCGCACTAGATCCGAAAGCACGATGGAGTCGTCGGCGTCGATAGGAGTGGGCCCGGGGTCATTGGCATCAGGTTCTGGAGGATATGAAGGGGATGACAGGGTTCGTGTCCGATAAATGTTGGGCATGGCGGCGTCGACGGAAAGATGTGCTGGTGGTAGGGTGGACAGGCGTGCATCCTGCATGTTCACGAGCTTAGTCATCTCCCGATCATGTTGCTTAGTCAGTTTCCATGGCCTTCTTCCGAATGACCGGCCCGAACTTCCTGACAACGTGAATACTTTTCGAGCGACGACAGGCGACGCCGACGTTTCTGTATGATGGCGACAGGGAAATAAGACGAACTTTCGTTGCAAGTAATACTACTAAATGTTGACTAAATGCATCTGATCAGTAACTCCTGGGTGGGGATTCCGTGCCCATCGTTGCTCTCCGTAAGCTGGCGTTGATAGATGAGCAGGCTGTGGGATCCAGGCTATCAATGCCATTCACGGGACTTTCGGCGTACCTTCATAGCGGATTTGCCAGCTGCAAGATTCTACTTTGACCAGCGGACAGGATGTCGATAACGCATTCAGTTCGTTCTGACAAGTACGCTAGATATTGTACCACCAAGCAATAACCAGTTGTAGCCGCATCGACGCCGGCGCGATGTAGCGAGGAAAGCATATATCCAAACATAAACTCCACACTACCCGACAAGGGAAGAGTACGACAAACCGCTGATCAGTACATGATTGATCCCACTAAACAGCAAAGTAACACTTTCCCCTTGAAGTTGCATAAGGCTAAGGACCCCCCATGTCAAGGTCACTGAAACTGAATTGAAAGCAGCTCGTCAGAATAATAACGTGACAGATGTATGCAACATACAAAGTGCCGGTCTTGCAGCGGGACCGGATCGTGCGCCAACAATATAACCTACGCCGATTGCCGCCATCATACATGCAACCCGAGCGCAGCACCGGCATCAGATATGTGCTTATAGGCGGTTTTAAATTTTCCGTTACGGTATACTGTTTAAAAAAAACCGTACCAAACCGCTTAAGTCTTGCGACTGTGCGGGTCATTGGAGAATCATATACAACACTAGGCCGCTTGACACTTAATAGGATGACGATTACAATGTCGGCCTACCCTTTGATTTCGGGTAATCTCGCACTCATGGTGTAGGAGACTACGACACACACCTTTGAAACAGGGGCACTCGACTCAAAAACGAACATGGATTTGAAAGTGTTTATTGGCAGTCACCGTTTTCTATCAACGTGAGTATGAGGGGTATCATCATATTAAAGTCAAGCCTAAGGAACTCTATCGCTACACGATGCCCAGAAAGACGAGACCAAGCAAAGACCCTGCGAAAACCCAAGGAATGGCGGAACAAGAGCGTCCTGAAAACGTGGCAGATGCAGATGCTAAACTGGAAGTACTCGTCGTCACATGAGTGGTTGTTCCGGTAATACTCGACGAAGTGACATTGCCGGCGACAGTAGTATACGTCCTAAGATAGGGTATCTCGAACCACGCATCGTCATATGTTGGGCTGCCCGGACCTATGACATAATTTTCCACCTGACAAGGAGTTTATTCGGAGGAACCGAGAGGAATGACCTCGCCACTTACGCACTGTCCGGAGCACTGGGTACTGAATATGGAAGGCACCCCAGCCCTATTTGTGTGCCCATGAGAAAGATCTTCCAGCGATAACAGTCGCTCGCTCTTACCAATTGCCACAAAGTGTGATATCTAGAATCAGCTTCTGCGGTTTGAATAGTGTTTGAAGATCACATCCACTAGATGGAAAAGAAGCCGATGGTAAGCCCCAGTCTGTCATATCCATGTTCGACGTCGACGTAGCAGAGGTGATGGACGCAGGTATATCTTGTCTCTTTGCATAAAAATCAGACAACATTTCATTCGTATAAAGGACATTCTTACCGGCCAGAACCAAATATACGCTCCCGACGCATCGAATTGCAACGTGAAGACTCCTCCACCGTTCTGGTTAAATCCCTCCCCATAACTGTTTGGCTTAGTTTCACTGACACGGCACCCAATGGAACCTCCTTGGTCGCTGCAATCTGCAGTGAGAGTTTGTCCGCTCTGTCCAGGGTCTGGGGGCTGCACGCAGGACGGATCATTGTGGTGAAGTGCCACTTGGTTGTTCGTATTGAGGTTAATACCTTCGACGATGTCGATCTCCCCATACATAGGCCAGTCCTTGTCGGTGCCTCCGAAGGTCCAGAACGACGGCCAAACCTGCTCGTAGATGTTAGACCGACGCCATAGGGGACAAGAATTTGTATCAAACGTGCCGAACATCCATACGGCATGTGAATAATGTCTATTATGATGAGGCTTCCCAACGGATAGAGATCCGTAGATATCAACTTGACCTACGCAAACGCCTCAGCAACATATTATACCCCTGGCTTATGGATCTACCGAGTCGCGATAAATGATTCCAGTACCAGTGACATCGGTAAAATTATCCACTCTTATGATAGCGTTACCAGCATCATTGACGTATGCTAGTTTGGCCGTGGACGCAGTAGTCCCGTCAACAAACGCGACGTTCCCTAGACCCAATACGTTAGGGGGGTGCGCACGGGAAAGATAAGAGGGCACGGCACATACCCGAAGTGGTATTATCGTAATTTCCTGGAAAGTCCCACCCAGAAAAGAAGCTCTGCCCTGCATATTCGCGTAACGGGGCATAGAGGGCATGGGAGAAGAGAATAGGGGCAAACAAAAGAACGAGTGTAAGGATGTTCATTCTGTCGTTGAAGCCGCTGGACATTGTCTTGGCACACTTTTATATTATCGGCATCGATTGCGGGCATGAAAGTGAGATATTTCACTCGTTTCCACGCAGGTCTCAGACTTGTTCCGGTATGTTTAATAGGCACTCCTCTTCGGTGGTGCCTCGAGGGTATCAAGGTAGCTCGAGAAATAAAATGTCTTTGAACCCACGCCGTGGGATCTACAGACATATATAGGGTATCGGGAAGATTCTGAGCCTCGAGGACGCTGATGGCTACCAAGCATTTTCACAGCGTCTATCTTGGAAAACCCTATGGCGGCGTGAAAAGCCCACCCCAAGGGCACTCAATGCTGAGTGAATCCGACGCGGAATCCTCGGACGGTTTTATATCCCTTTTTTGCAGAGGAGGGGGGTGCACAAGACCTTTTGCCGCCAAGACGAAAAGTGCGATGATGGGCCACGGAACGGCCCGATAAGTATCAGAAATGAGTCACTCAGGCTGTTGCGCTCCGGTTACTTAACTCAGGTTTGTAAGCGATGGCTGTGCAGGAACCGGTCAATTATTTGAACTTGGACACCACACCCATTACGATCTGCGACGGGCTCATCTCTGGGAAAACTCTGTCAGTGAAATACGCCGTCATTGCTGACAGGCTAAATCGTATGCTGGTATTCATTTTCTCCATCCCGTTTTTGCTCCCACAGCGAAGATCATAGGGCACCGCCCGGTTCCGATTCTCGGTCGCTTACTCAATTCTTTCCGTTGTGATGTAGTGCTTTATACGGGCTCTCATCGAGGTATTTAACACGCTTTCAGGATACATGACACATTGACAGCGATCTATCCCTCAATCATGGATCGCCGGTCCCTGTGTGGCGATGGCTTGAATATCTTCTCCGCTCAACGCTCTGCCCCTCTCGGATCTGTAGATTACTCATTTAAGCTAGTAATAATATGTTCACAACCAGAATTTAGAGGTTTATTTATGTCAAGGGGAATGTTGGCCGGGTATTGTGATCGTGCCCCATTATGCAATGACTCAGAAGATGATGCACTTCCTCGTGAAGAATATCTATCCGTTTTGTCTTTTTCATGGCTGATTTAGATAGTACTGTCCTTGCGTCTGGCCTCACGGTTTCTCACTGACGGGTCGTTGCAGATATCTGTGTAAGCGATTTTTCTCTTTGCAGTCATCGGGAGGATCGCGCGGGTGTGCTATATCATGTTCGGTTGGTCTTGGGACTATCATGATCTCGGTTTTCTCGGCCACTTGCCAAAAAAATTCTAGCAGTAAACGTTCAGTTTGACTGTGGCGCTTGCATATTTCGTAGTCTATATAAGTTATAACTCTGCCTGGACAAGAAGAAGATCCGAAGCGTTGGCAGAGTTTCGGACAATACGCATCGCCTCAGCGGATAAGTTATACTAAGTAGCCTCCCGCCGTCAGCATATAGTTAGCCAGAGTAACTGTAAAGAGACAAGACGCGGTTAGTGTTGAGTCGATTTTTTAGTCTCGATCTCAGATGTAAGAGGTACGGCCTCCCGAATACCTTGATATGGTACCTTTCCAGCTCTTAGTACTACGGAGAGGTTTGTGCTGATGAAACTTCCACTCTCGCATGCTATCGCCTACCTGCTTTTTGTTAAGTATAAATGCATCGACTCGTGTTAAATTGACGAGGTGAAAAAATGCAGGTGCAATGCAGGCAATAAGTAATTATTCCGAATCTACGAATCTTGATGATGCCGCTGTAATGCCGCGACGGCTTGATTTGATGCCGTGCATAAGGCCGCCTCAATCTTTCATAGAAGATCGATAGAAGGAAACATGCTGGTTCTTTATTCAAGGTTGAAAGATAAATAACTATGAAGCACAAATATTCATATTTAAAACTTTTCACAAGCTCAGTACTGATTCTAAGATGCTCATTAATGTCAGTCTTTGCTAGTGGGACCTTGGTGGCATCGGCATCGGGACCGGCTCGGGAGATGCATGCCGGTTTTGCCTGTTTTGCGTGTTGGATCGAGATCGAACAATCGACTACATACTCCGACTCCTCGTAGGACCGTCCTACGATTAACCTTTAACTTTAATGTCGATGCCCACTGTATGCAGATTCAAGCGGTCGGGATCTTGTTGGCTTGGGGATTAGTTCTTGATCTCGAACCTTTCCCCGATGCTTCACCTTTTTACCGTGATAATGAAACCGAAAATCTCGGACATGTAGATCATGAAAATGGATAAGCCATCTTAGATGAATCCGGGGAGTGTCGAATGTCGGTGATTGCTGACTGTTCGCGACCTAATCATCGCACCCGAATGGAACTGGTGGTCTGTCGTGGAAATGGCCTACAGACGTCGCACTACAGGGAAAATTGGGTAAATCCTGCGACGATCACTGCTGGCATTCGCAATGCATGAGGTTGTTCAATCTGGTCATTTACCAATGGCTGATCCTGATTCTTGATTAGAGCTCCTGTGTTGAGCGCCCCAACGAACAGCGTATCCAATATTATGTATTCGCGATGCTGTGGACGAAAATGGCATCCCCGTTTTGGTGGGTCGGTCATTCGGGGGAGAAGGTGAGGCAAGGCAGCTCGGGCTTTTGGTTCGCATCAACGCATGTAGAGCATCTAGAAAAATGCGCTCTCCAGCGGCTGTTACTACGACTGGATAGCAGATCCGATACATTTTTCCCGAGTAGTTTCGCTCGTCATAAAGGATAGACGCTTCTTGGGACGCTGCAAGCGTCGGCAGCCGGTCAATAATCAGCGATCATTGTGGCGTTGGCAGCTTTAATCGCCGGATGGTGTCCCGAAAAGGAATTCTGATAGTCAAAAAAGGAGAAAGAGTTTATAGTGCGGAGTAGTCAATCGTTTTGACCTCCCTCTCGTCTGCGACATGAGATTAGTTGTTTGTCATCACGAGCCGGTGTATAAAAGGGCGAATGGCATGTTTTCCGATGCCCACCTTTCTTTCTTCCGTTCTCCCATCTTCCCCTCACCCCTACCCGCAAATCCTTTGCGATGTTTTCCTTCCCCCAGATTACCGCCATTGACCTTGTTTCCAGCTTCGCGCTTGCCGCCGCCTCCATATTCATCGCGTACGTCGCATTTTACGCCATTTACAACGCAATTCTCTCTCCTCTGAGCGCTATTCCTGGTCCGTGGTACGCCGCGATTTCCGACATCTGGCTCACCACCCACGTCGTGCGTCTCGAGCAATGCCAGACAATCCAGTCCCTTTTCGAAAAGTACGGCCCTGTGGTTCGCGTTGGACCCAACAAAGTTGTCTTCAACGATCTTTCTACTATGCGAAGCGTCTACTCTGTCCACAAGTTCGACAAGAGCATATACTACAAGAGTCTCCTCACGTATGTCTCCATTTCATCACGTTACGTGCGACTGTTGATAGTTCCTTGCTTTTCAGGAACGAAAATGACCACGCGTACGTATTTGGGCGCATATATCGGCTTCTAAATACTGATTTCAGGGCAGGATGACCACCCTCGACCACGCTTCTCATTCCGTTCGACGAAAGGGATACGCCCCACACTATATCACGTCTAACCTATCAAAATTTCAAGCCGAGATGCACGATCTCACTTTGGAGCTAGTCAATGTACGTTTTCTGCTGGTCGTGGATGCTATGTATGCTGATTCTGCGCAGGCCTTAGATGGCATGAGCAGAAAAACGTCACTGGAGTGTCTTTCATTGTTCCGCAATCTCATGGTCGACGTTATTGTATCAACGTCGTATGGCTACCGTCTTGGGGCAGTACATAAGTGGTCCATGAATTCCGAAGATCCTCTTTCCACTGCCATTAATGATTTTCCGAAGCGTGGTATTTTAGTATGTGTATCCTCCTGCTCCTTCCGTGCGTCCCTAACTTCCAGCCACAGCGAAGCGTCGTTCCTACCTGGACCTGGAATATTGTCTGCAAGATTCCGAACGCCCGATGGCGTCAACTCGTTGACTCTGATAAGATTATGGCCGAGGTGCGAAGAGCATTCCTCCATCGAATTAATGATCTCATTCTCGTTGTTCCAGTTTGTCAGGGAGCGCGTGTACCAGATGCATGCGCAGATGAACGCAAGAACGTTGGAAGAATCGGAGAAGGTTCCCATGCTGCACAGGCTCCTGAACTACCGCTACAGTTCGAGCAATAATGCGATGCCTGATACCGACATCATCTCGGAGTGCATGGGTCACATGTATGCTTATTTCTTCTGCTCATGCGGAGCGTATCTAATTCTCTGGTTAGGATTGCAGGATCCGACACAACATCGACGACGCTGTCCTATTTCCTCTGGGAGCTTAGTCGTCGCTCGGATGTCGTGAGGAGGCTTCAGGACGAGCTCGACGAGGTTATGCCTAATGCGCGGACCATTCCGGATATGGCTATTCTCCACGGTCTACCTTACTTGAACGCCTTCATCAATGAAGGCAAGTGTACACAAATATTCCTTGCTCCTTTGCTGACGCGGTGACTGCAGGATTGAGAGTGTACTCTGCTGCTCCGAGTCTTCTTGAGCGTGTGGTCCCAGCGTCTACGTCTTACAAGTTCGGACACGAGGCATTTGATCTTATGGGTTTCGCCCTTCCCTCAGGAACGGTAGTTGCTACACAAGCTTGGTCGATGCACCGTAATCCAGCCGTCTTTCTTTCGCCTGAAACGTTCCTCCCTGATCGTTGGTTGGATGCCTCGCCTGATTCTTTGGCGTTGATGAGGCAGCACATGATGCCGTTTGGGACTGGAACTAGGATGTGTGGAGGTCAGAACCTGGCTCATGCAATGATGAGAGTAGTCATAGCGGCCATCGTGAGGAACTTCAACATCGTCGCTCCACCGGAAACAAACGAGAGAAGCATGGAGATCAAAGACAGTTTCGTGAATTGTCTCTGTTACCTTCGCGCGTACATATATGCTCACACTTCTGATTACAGGTTATATTTCCTTCAGCAAATGAGTGCAAACTCATATTCAACCCGAGAACACCCTGATCGGGCTGCCGACACCCTCCGCCCCCATCATTGCAATTTCGAATTCACTTTCTTGGTTGTTTGGTTTTCGTCACTCTTGCTTTCATTGTTATTGCTATCGACACTGTTTCGCGATCCCCCAGGCTTTCACCGCTGTCTTGATTTGGCTTCAGCCGTTTCTCTTTACTCATGTCCACTGCCAACATTGGCAGACCCACTATTGCTATCGACCACTATTCTATGTCGTCCTTAATGGAAGTGCGTGCCCCCTGACGCTGGGAATCCGATACGCTATACTATATTCATATTAATTTTTTTTACACCTTCGTTTGTTCTTGACGTAACTTACATGTCCAATTTTGTTGGAGTAGTTTATTCTAGGGTTATATTATATATCGCTGATTCACTCTACGAAAAGCCCGTCGGGCGTGCTGGAAATCCCAAGTGTAAAGGAAAAAAGAATTTGGCATTCTCATGCGATGTTACCGCCTTTGCTCTCCCAGGGCGCCGCGGGCAATTCTGCGGCCGTCAGTGAGTCGCTGGGCGAAGAAGACTTCACATCGTAGTCGTCATTATTGGCATGGGGGCGTCTTTCAGCGAGATTGGCCGTGTGCATCTCATGCTGTTCGACATGCTGTTCAACGTCAACGAAGACCTGCGGACGGGTCGTTTCTACGCGAAAGATGTGTTTCTAGAAGCGATGTGGATGAGTCTAGCTAGCTGTTCTTTGATGGTCCTGAAACAAACCTTTTTGTTTGGCTCTCGAAGAATGCCGCTGGTGGAGTGTGTATGCGAGCTGGATTCTGGATCACTGAAGTTCCATCCCCGGCGCGAGTTCAACGTGCTCATCATCGCGTTTGTGTAGAGCTTAGACAGCGGAAAATTGAACATGAGGTGCCTGCGTACGCGTGTCCCATTCAAGTTGGAATGCAAAACTTTTTTTTTTTGGAGTTTGAAGGCACTCACATTCCGGTGGACTACGGAAAGTTGATGAGAGTATGTCAGAAAACACGCGGTAAGTGTCAGATCCAGCCACTGACGTCTGAAAGGTAGACAGCTAGGTCTATAATCGCACAGATGGAGGTGGTGAGACCGGTTTGGACGGTCACTGTAAAAATTTAACCCAGGTTTTTTTTAGTTCAAAAAAATCACTATTTGAGTGACCCTAGCCACGGCTACGGTGTTGTCGCTCACATCGGATGATTCGATCGACGAGTTCATCGGTGCCTTGAAATCCAGTCTTGCGCCTTTTCTGTTCAGACTCAGACGGTGAGTGACGCGGACCCTGCCTGGACTATATCATGAACTTGCCCTAAAAAAAGGCTCGTGAATCCAAGTATTCCGAACGGGAGATACTTAGAAGAATGTGTACTACTCACAAATGCCAGACGAGGATTCCAGAGATGAGAATGTCTGATAGACACGCAGCCCCCAGCCAGATGATGACGACGGCCTTGAAGTTTTGGAATTGGATGAATTCGGGGGTTTTCCCTACTTCGAAGGAGGTTGCGATAGCGGCGCCTAGGAAGAGAGAAAAAAAAAAACGGAGATTGGGTTACACGAAAAATAGGATGATGGTTAGGGGCATATATACCAGTTCCAGTCAGTGCGAAGGCCCCCACGATTGTCACGAGCCAGGGGTTGTCGGTGAGGACCTTGACTCTCCACGCGAAGAAGAGTTGGACCATTCCCCCGATGATGCCCTTAGGGATTCAATGAGTTCAGGAGGATCAGAAAAGGCGGATCAAAGGAGCCCAGCCCACCGTAAGCGCAGGGTCTGGATATATCAATTCGAAAAAGCTATGGAATAATTACAATCATCAGAGACATTGATCCCGTACCTGTAGCGAAGACTGTGGTTTTTTTTTTCAGTACCAGGCAGGTTGAAATGAAGAAAAAAACAAAAAACATACCCCAGTCTGCTCTAGCGAGATACGCATCGTCGTCTGAAGCGCGGCCAGTGTGAGTGCACTGTCTACTAGCGGGATCCATAGACTCACCGAAATGGAGGATGAGAGACGCATATAGGTATATGCAGAAGAAAAGCGTGCTTGCGACGTTTGCGACGCAGAGAACGACGATCTATTGGCGTGGGTTTAATGAAGAATGGAAGGAAGACGAACAACTCAGGAAGACCTTCATCCATAATCGATCCCTAGCGTAAGCGGTCCCGATCATCAAAGACGGCTGGTAAAAAGAAAAATAAAATCAAGAACCGACTGACTTCCTGTACGTATTCAGATACATATACATCTGGGTGCCGATGATGCCCAGAAGGATGACATTGATGTAGAGACCAATAAACATGGGACCGCGACTGCCCAGGAATGAGAAATGCGAGAAAAAAGAGCAGAGGGGTACACCACCCACGCGACCTCTGCAGCATTCTTCATCTTTGTGGGGGGGAGGGAAGCGGTGAATGAGGGGACTAGAGAAACGCGCGAGGTGTTGTGAAGATATTCGCGAACCGTCTCAGGTGTCTCCGCATGTAAAAGGAAGATCTAACGAAAGGAGGGAGTGACGTGACGATCTACGCGGCGGAATAAATAAAAAGTCACCATTGAATTGATAAGAGGCCAATTTGAGGTGAAAAGGGTCAGAACAAATAGGGATCCGGAATAACGGCGGGGTGTCTGCTGTTATAGGTACCAACGTCATCAGCTCCGCACACGCACTTGAGTTGTCGCGTTTCGGTCCTATAACGGATCAATACCGTTCGAGTACCTTGGAAGGAATGAATAGCATTTCTAGTGTAAAGGTTCGCCTGCGGTAGAGACGAAAATCCCTAGAAAAAAAAAAGGTAACCACGTGAACATGACAGAGAGGAGTGGCCGCTACAGCTCATAAAGTCGACAATGGATGATAAGGTTGAAAGATATGGGGCATCCGTTGCCCATTCGAACGGTGTCTGAGTCTGGGTGATAAATGTCGCTTATTATCTTCGCATCGACTGGAAGCATAAGAGGGCAATGATGGTATTAGCAGTTTCATAACAACCACAGGAGAAGAAAAGCAAAGTCAAATGCTCGTTGAGATCGGCGCAAGCCTAATCGCCGCCGCCGCCGCCTCCGCAACCTCCACCACCGCACCCGCCTCCGCAACCTCCACCGCCTCCGCACTCGCCTCCACAACCACCACCACGGGAGCCAACACGACTACCACAACCACCCCCACAACCACCCCCACATCCTCCACCACCGCAACCACCTAAAAGAATCGTTTCTTGTCAGGAACTTTTGGCTCTCGAAACAGGAAAAAAGTGACCCTTACCGCCACATCCACCACTGCGCAACGAGACAGGAGCCAAGAACGCCAGATCATCTCGTCCGGAAACCGCCCTATGAATCTGATCACCCCCAACGAGATCGTCCGAAGGCGGGATGCTGTAATAAGGCAACGGCTGTCCGCCCAGTCGTTCTCCTATCTTGATGGCAGATGCGTATCGGATGTTGTAGCATCTCTGTGGGGAGGGGGGGAAGAGGTAGAAAGAGGGTGTGTTCAACTCGCGTTCGTACTGCACTGAAAAAAAAAAACTTGTACTTACCTCCCATGCCAGACAGGTCTTATCAAACGCGTCCGAGAGCGCGTTCTCCTCGACGTTGTCATCGTGGTCAACAGAGCGCTGCAGGTAGCTGATACAGTCGCCATTGTAACTCGGCAGGAGTTGGTGCGTGTGCCACGCAAGATCGATATCTAGCGTGGGTACGAAAAAGTCCTTGGGGTTGCTTGACATGAGGTTGAGGAATCTGCAATTCCACTTATATATTAGCGTCATAAATGAATAAAGAGAAAAACGCACGCATGATATCTCGCGATGCAGTGCTTCAGCGCGACCTCGTCTCCCGGTGAGGCGAAAAAGTCCGATTCGCTCCATCCGAATTTGCGCATCTTGGCGGTGAAAGAACCTTGGCGTAAAACCTAATGTGCCGGCTTAGAAGAGAGAGCGAGAGAGAGAAAAACCCTTTCAAAACGGGTGCTCACTGCGTCAGCGAGATCCAATGAGAATATCTTGTCATTTTTGTAGGCGCTCAAGACCTTGTCCAGCCTATTCCATTTCAGTGCTGGCATTCGAAAGGACCCAAAACTCGCTTACAGTTTGGCTCCTCTGTCCTTCATATAGATGCCCATGTGCTCCTTGAGCTTCGCCATATCGTAACCCACAGCTTCCTGAATATCCATAGCCCATTCACGCGGAGATACCTGGGTTCTTTTAGGCTTGAAGACATCCGACCGCAACACCGCCGCCTTGATCTGCCTCGCACGTATGGGGTCACAAAGAGCTGCGGCACCTGAATAATGGAGCGTCTGTCTACGCACCATTAGACTCTTTAAGCTACAACGATGTGCAGTGAAAACTCACGATAACGTCGCATCGCATACTACAAGATCGACCACGAGCTTGTGAACAGCCAAAGTCTCTTTGGTAACAATATGGCTACACTTTGGGCACGTAAACTTGAAGTTCTGTTGCAGGTATCCGCTATCGTTCGCATCAAGCAGTGCTACAGATGGGAGGTTGTCGATTAAAGGTCAAGAACGATAACACCCGGCGGGACACTCACGAACGGAAAGTCTATCGAAACACTTGGGACATCCAACACCTCGGCTGGTCATCTTTCTGGCGCATTCGAAAGGGTTAAAAGGAAGCCCAGTTAGTTGAGTCCAATTGTGGGACCTCTCAGCTATCACACAGTCGCCGGTGTAGGCAAGGAAGACTCGGTCCTTTATCAAGACTTTTAATCGATGGGAGCAGCATGATATTTACCCAAAAGCGTACCATGATCTCGAACCAATGGCCATGGTCCCCAAGACCTTTGATTCGGAAACTGTCATCAAGATAACGGCTAGAATAATAGTCAGTGAATGACGGACAGCTGAAAGCACCCATTCTCGTACGCAGGGTTTAACTGATAGGCGTGCCAGACCTGCATTATTAATCAGCTGAGAGGTCGAAGGTGGTCTACGAAAGAGCGGCGTACCATGATGACGTCCAGCGGAGGAAGATATTTCACAACAAAGTCTTCACGGTCTACACCCCGCTCTATACAGGATTTCGTCAGGCACCATTTCTCGAATCTGAGCAACATAACCATCAGCTTTGCCCTTACGGTTCCTGTAAAGTAGTTCGCTCACCTCTCAACAGCTAGCGCAACAAACCAATTCCAACGATGGACCTTGTCAGCGGGGATCTGGAGGTAACTTGCTCGCTCCGCTTCCGTCATATTCTCGACTTTGTCCTTCAGCTCAGCAAAGCGGTGCAAAAGAGCCAGATGTCCTTTCAGCTGAGGGACTGTCACAAATGGCTCGGGGACGAGATGACCACCGATGAATATCTTGAACGGTAGGTTGGAGGTCGGCTGCATGCCAGTGCTCTTCCGAAGAAGAGGAGGGTCATTATCAGTTTTGGGGACACGGTGAGGCATAGAAGCAGTGTTGGTGATGGTCAACGTCGAATGAAATGCTGAGACTGAAGAATAATGAGCAGATGGAGGTGGGGGCTCAATGATGGTTACCGCCAACTGACGACTGCGAATGAATTGCGGCATGTTCCGGCATACCAAAATGGGAAGCTCTAAACTGCGAACAGAACTCGATCTGATATTATACCCTCGCTCGTTCCAATCTTGCATGAATCGCATGAGCAAAATGAAGTTATTGACAGAAGTATACTTTACCTTTCAAATGGACCCCGAAGAAGTCCTGAAATGTCCGTGCCTTTCAACGAAGCATGTACTAGTCCTCCACCAGCCGCGCTGCATCGTTGTAACTCTGCGCTAACGAAAAATAGCCATGGGGAGAGATCCATATGTCAGGCTACCCATTTCTGCCCCCCTGCTTTATCGCCGGTTTTAGACTATAAACTGGATATTCGGCAGTTTAGCTGCAGAAACAAAGTTAGTGTTGGCACCGAGCCTACGAAAAATGCAATAATCTAGACTGACCGTTGGCTTCATAGTCAGTACTTTACCACCCAAAGGCTTTCCCGACAGCGACGATTTGTTCTTCGAAAAGGACACCATCCCCATAGCTTCGGCGACTACCGAGTGAAGGGAAAAACAAAGGTATTTAGAGCAAGGGAGAAGATGATGATGGCAGGGCTTCTGAATGTCCCTTGTCAAATTTGCGCGGGGTACCGTACACAGGAATACAGACGCGCCTTTGGGTACACGACAGAGGATCCGCCACACTAGCTTCCACTTTTTTTTCGGTTATGCCCAACCCTTGGAACTATGTCCGATATTCTACAAGCATTCGACGTGAGGACAACTGAAAGAAAGAAAGAACGTTAGTGGTGACGCAATATTTGTTATGAAAGTGCAATTTGATACCGACCCCGACAGTCCTATTGATATTCCTGCCATGAATCCTCTCAGCAAAGGCACCACATTCGACCAATACATTAGGGCAAAGTCAAGGTCTTCGGTAGCTGAGCCGATTCTAATCACGCGAGAGATAGATTCCTGAGCACACAGTTTGAGATTTTCCAACCCAAATATCTTGGGTTTTACGTGGTTATCCGTGTTCTCTGCGCCTTTACTGCCTCAGTACAAGAACCACAGCGAGACAAAACGCACTTTTACTGCACCCGAAGACTTATACCACATCAAGTTCCAAGTTGCAAATTGCCCAGCCCGCTGATGAGGCATTTTTGCCCGAGCGTTCTGTTCCACCAGAGTGAGATATACTGCGAGATACAGAATTCCCTAGTTCATGGTGTATCACAGGAATGAGATAGAAGCGACGCAGTCAGCGTAGGAAAGAAGAACGAGTGTTAGTGAGGGAACGGAAAGACGAATCCTAAAATAGTGATTACTAATACGACTAGTCGATATTAATAGTCGTTTTTCTTAAGAAAAACCAGCCTAACAAAATGTATTGAAAAATCATCATAAATGCGGCACGACAGCACCTCCGGTACATATTCAGAAAATGCAGAAAATATTGCGACTCGTATCACGAAGCAACTAATTTCCGCCGCCACCACCACATCCTCCGCCACTACCACCACATCCACCACCTCCTCCACAGCCTCCTCCACCACCTCCTCCACAGCCTGCACTACCTCCTCCTCCACACCCAGCGCCTAGAAAAAAAAGACCAAATCAGAATATCACTCAAACATCCAGCTACACTCAAAACTCACCACCACTCCCACATCCACCAACACCCTTCAAAAACAAACAGATTAAGTTCAAAGCAAAAAAGTCCGATTAGGAGGACTCACAACAGCAGCACATCCCCCGACCCCTCCACCCCCTCCAACCACATTCCCCGTCATCGCCACACACCCAACCCCATACACATAATTCAACGGAACCGGCACCAAAAACGCCGCGTCATGTCCAACACTCCTATTCCTACTAACCCCCCGCTCTTCTCGCCTAATCCTCCTCTCCCGCTTACTCAGCCTCTCCCGTCTCATAGCGTCGACCTGCCCCTGGTGCTGGAACGGATACACCGCATTATGGTCGCTCGGATGTGTCGCTGCGAGGAGATCGCTTCGATCCCGGGGCGGGACGAGGTGAGAGAGCGCTACCGACTGCTTATGTATCGTTACGAGCCTGCTTATTCGTTGCCCAATCGTGTCGCCCGGGAGCGGACACCCGCAGTGTGTATATGCGATCCCGAATCGGTCCTGCAAAGGCAAAAGGTGTTAGCAAGGGCCCCGAAAAGGGACAGCGCGAATTCACATACTTTCCATGCCCGACAAGTGATATCAAAAGCTCTTGACAGCCTGTTTTCGGCCACCTTGTCGTCATGGTCGACGAACCGACCGACATATTCGAGACAGTCACGCGAGTACTCCCGGGCCATGAGCTGGTGAGTGTGCCAAACCAGGTCAATGTCCAGCGTTGGGACAAAGAATCCAGCAGGTGACGACGACATCAGGTCCAGGAATCTGGTTTGTTTGTGAGGTCCGCTGAGCAACAGGCACCAAGAAGACACCCTGCTTACGCATGATAACGAGCAATACAGTGCCTCAGCGCTACTTCATCCTCGGAGGACGAGAAAAAGTCCGGGTTTGTCCAACCTAGTTTATCCATCTTGTTCACAAACGATCCTTGTCGGAGTACCTTCATCGCGTAAGTGTTCCGCCTGTAGAGTGTTCACAAAGGTACCCACTGCCCCGACGAGATCCAACGAAAATATCTTGTCATCTTCGCACGCGCTCATGATCCGAGACAGCCTATCAATTCAACATCAGGATTGCCAAAGAAACAACAAATACAAACGTACAATTGTCCTCCGTATACCCTCATACGCTGGCCCATAACACTTTGAATTTTCTGCATACTGTAGTTCATTTTCTCCTGTATGTCGACCGCCCATTCCTGTTCGGTTTTCGCATCTCCCTTCCGAAATGCTGGCGGTCTCATCTCCAAAATGCGGGACTTGATAGCCTTCGCACGACCCGAATTGTCGATATTAAAAGGCGTGTGAAGAGTTCCGCTAGATGTCAAAGGTATCAATCAGCAGAAAGAAAGAAGAGACGACAGTCAGAACATACGCAAGGACATCGCTGGAACCCACCAGGTCCTTCACAAGTTTGTGAAAAGACAACTTTTCCTTCGTAATCTTCAGCCAGCACCCTTTGCACCTGGCTGTGAACTCCTGTTGGAGATATCCGGTACCAAGGGAATCTGCCAGGCCTAGATCTCATTCAGAGATGGTTATCAAGACCAACGGCACCAGTATTTACTCACGAACGTCGACCTTCGTGAGACATTTGGAGCAAACTATTTCTCGCTCAGTCAATATCATTGCCGACTCGAAAGGATCATAGGGGAGATGGGTCTTCTGCAGCCAGTTCTGGACACGGGCGTTTGACGGAGGCGAGTCGATGGTGTAGCATGTCCGTTCCTAATCCATCCAGTCAGCTCAACCTTGAAAAAATAATTCAAGGTAACCATACGAGGTCCCGAAACCAGTCACCTATGCTTGCAAGTATCTTGATGTGCTTGTTTCGTAGCGAATCTTCAGAATACCGCCTGATATGCGATCAACATAACATCACGGAAGGTACCACGCGAAGCATACGCAGGATTTGACAAGTAGGCGTGCCAAACCTGTGCAGCTCGAAATTAGCAACACGTTAGATACCAAAACGTACTATCCTTCACCATGATAACATCGACAGGAGGCAGCTGCTGGTCAGCGAAATCCAATTCGTCTTGAGCTGTCAGCGCCTTGCACCATCTTTCGAACCTAACGAACACCGTCAAGCCTCGACAGCCTACCAGTAGCCAAGGAACATACCTCTCAACGGCCAGTCCAACGAACCACGACCACTTGCGGTCCTTATCGCTGGGGACATCTGGGTATCTGGAACGGTCGATCCCTTCGACTCGTTCCTTGAGGGAGGCAAAGTGCCTCAAGAGACATAGGTGGCCCTTGAGCTGAGATATGCTGACAAAGGGTGTCTGGAGGGCACGACTGCCGATGAACAGTGGGTAGGGTGGCTCGTATGAGGGTGGTTGGGCACCACCGTCGTCCCCACCGCTCGGTCGTGTGGAATATGGTGGTAAGACGTCCATTAGATTGAATAGATGGTGGATGATCACAGGGTTTATATCACGGAGCTCCTATTACCGTTTGAGGTTAAGTGGCATCAAAGGGGATATTACGCGTGCACAGCTGGCCCAGGAACTGAAACCTGAGAGGAAACGTCGGAACTTGGTCGACGCTTTATGTATTACACTATCTCATTGCCGTCAGCATAGAGTACATCGCGGAAAACGAAAAACAACGCACTGAATCAGAGACCAAACTTGGTTCGGCTGCTTGTCTACTCGATACTCGAAAATCGAGCTCTAAAGTGAGTGGGTGGATATGCCGAAATCAAAGGCGCTTCCATTGCCAGAGCAATTGCTGTCGAATTCTTTCGAAATTCCTTCATCGCTTTGACAAGTATCTCGGAGCATCGTGGATCAGGTCCGTTCCACCATGCGCAGGGATGTCGTGACAGTTGTCCCGGTCGCAAGAGGCTTGAGAGACTAGCTTTCGGAAGGTGACGCGGATAGGATTATCGGTGTAGACACTAAAGGTCATTGATTGGCTGGACTGGAGTATCGTTATCATCGGTGATCCTCTCCTACGCCAGGAGTCCACATACACATGCACCAGCTGTTGCCCTGAGGGCTGTACAACTGTCAACGACCCCAATTGAATACGACAACAGGCGCATATATCCTGCCCTAAAGTATATATATGCATAATGAGTAAACAAAACAAGCATAGTAAAGAGTTTGCTCACCAATACCGGCACCTCCGCTGGCTTGCTAATTCTGACAACGCGCTTTTTGCTACTGCAGCAATGTCATGAAAATGGAGATTCACAGGTACGATAACGTGCTTTGTAGAACTCGCCAAAACACATCACGGAAAAAGGAAGTATTTCGACGCGATTAACCAGTGTAAAACCAGTGTAAAACCCGTGCAGGAAGCAGACGCGGTAGAAGTGAAACAGAAAGTCTGAAATTTGAAATTTGCTGACTTTATTTGGCTCCGCTTGGCAGCGTGTCTTGACGTCGCCTTTCCGGGGAATTTAAACTCATGCCGCGAGATTTCGATCGTTTTAATGACCGAGTGTAATGCGATATTGAAAATTGGAAATTGTATACCATTAGTCTAGTGGCCAACTTTACATAATTCATGCTCAGTGCAAAAAATACACTACCAAACATCTAGGCTCATATCAGGGTGAGAAGACTCATAGATTCTTTCTTACAACACATGACTCTACCTCACTTTAATGAACACTCATGAGAGAATGTAGCATCTAACAATGCTCAGAGAACATTGATCTCTGGTTCTGACTGAAGAATCCACAGCCACTAAAGCTGTACATGCAGACCATAATAGAGAGCTGCTTACTTATCTACTTGAGTGATTCAAGTCTGTACTTGGTACCAATTCTCCATGATGAAACATTTGATATACATGTTGGAAATACAGACAACAATGTTCATGAATGAAAAGCTGTTTCAGAAAACTGGCACCATGTCTTCCTTCTACTCTGTATTTTTCATGTCTGGTGGGCTTGGCAAAATAGACTGAACAAGAACTTATAGTCAATACCAAAAGGACAGGCACAGAAGACAGTGCACCTTCAGATAGCCCTTGTTTTGATGAAGCTCCTGAAGGAGGTCAATGGATATGATGAGGCTATGAAGATCTATCAGAACAAACAGCATAATGACAAAAGATACTTTGTAAGAACTATGAAGGGTAAAAGTAAGCAAGTGGTTAATGGTCAGGATAAATAGACATACAGTTGACTATCTCACAATGCATGATGTTGAAATGCATAATTCTGACTTTGCATATGGATTGGGCTGGAACGCAGTTGGGGAGCAGGGAAATGGGCTAGAAATGCATATCGCATAATGCATATGGTTTTAGTTAGGAATATGCATTGTCAGATTGAAAATTATAGTAAGCTGATATGACATTATACATATATTAGAACAATAAAGAACATAATTTGTTTGTATGGACTATGACAAACACAAAAAAAATTATTGTAAAGTGATGCAGCCTATATCTCTATAAACATGCCTCCTGAACCAATATGAAAACCATGTGCTAAACCTGGAAATCCATATGAGCATACAAAACAGAAGGAGAAAGTCCCAATGTACACATCATCAGCTCAGCCTCCAAAGCAGATCTCCCACCCACACCTCACAACAGGAGACTGGCTTGTAGTATTCAAACATGTTGATAACCATCCTTCCCATTGACATGCTGACATTGTGGCACATTTTGCAAACCAAAAGGAAGGTGCACTGCTCTTTACCCAATCAACTCTTTCACAGAAACTGGCATCTCATACAAAAATCAAACAGTGTGCAAATGAGAACCCTAATGCACTATCATCCAAAAAGTCTTGTATTGTCACCTGACCTGATGTGGAGTGTGCTGTTGCATCCTGGTATCAGAACATGCAGCTCTGAGATGAGACTGTGACTGGTGCAATGCTGATAGAGAAGTGAAATCAGATTGAAAATCTGATGAATATTCCAGAGAATCAGTGTTTGAAAGGAGAGGGATGGTTGAGGTCATTCTGCAAGACATGGAAGATTCAGGAGGTTCAGCGGCATGGAGAAGCAGGCTCAGTGGATATGATGGCAGTGAAAAAAGAACGTGTGCATCTTCACAGCATTATGGCAAAATATGTGATGCAGGACAGATGGAATATTGATGAATCCAGTCTTGTCATCTTTGCCATCCCAGATCATACCTTGGCATCTGGTCCTATGAGTGGATGAAAACAGGACAAGTTCTGCATCACCATGTGTTTTGCTGTGAATGCAGATGGGAGTGAGCGAATGCCAGTTGTTTTCATTGGCAAGTCAAAGCAACCATGGTGTTTCAAGAAAAAGAGTCCAACAGCAATGGGATTCTATTATCAGAATAACAAGAAGGCCTGGATGACAAGCAAAATATTTATGGAGTGGGTGAAGATGTTTGATTTAAAGATGAAGAGGGAGATGCAGCAGGTTCTGCTGACCTTGGACAACTTTCAAGGGCATTCCATCACTTATACACCCCATAACACAAAGCTGGAGTTCTTTGAGCCCAATATGACTCCCTATGTTCAGCTGCTAGATGCTGGTATTATCCACTGCTTCAAGGCACATTATTGGAATGCCATGTGTATCTGTGCACTTGATCTTGATGATCTTGGAGAGTCTGAGATCTTCAAGCTTGATCTCCTTGAAGCTATGACTATCACTTGTGATGCTTAGGCAAATGTCAGCAGTGAAATGATAGCAAACTGCTGGAAACACACTGGTATAATGCCTGACAATGCACCTGAGTCACAGTCTACCACACCATCCAATGATTTCCAAGCTGCCTCACTTCTCAAGCCTGCATGGAACCTTGTTCATGACTTTGCCTCAACAGACAAATACATGCTTCCAGGGATCAAACAGGCATTGCAGGATCTGCTTGGAAACCAATATGCTGATGCTGACTGGCATCCTGCTCTTATAGCTGTTATGAATGCAGAGAATGATGTTGGTAAAGCACTGGAGGCAGTCAATCAGTTGGCTTCTTTGTCACAGTCAAAAATGAACACACCTCCCACCCAAATTGCCCCCATTCAACAGCTTCAGACAGCAGAGATAATGTTGAAGGACCATCTTGTTGAATTGAAACAACGAAATCGCATGTTTGGTCCTATTCCAACCATTGAAGAGATGGTTAACTCTATTGCAGAAGAGTATACTGAAGATCTTGAGGTGATGCCAACAGATGAGGAGATTGTTGCTGCTGTCAAGCATAATATTGCAGTAGAAAATGGGGAAATAACTGTCATTGATGATGATGAGGAGGAAGAAGAGGAAGAGGAGGGTGAGGAAGAACAGACCTTGATAACTACAAGGGAAGGATTTGAGCTTATTCAAAAGCTGGAGGCATTTTGTGTTTCACAAGGTGACCAGGGTGGATTAGTACCACAGCTGAGGAAGTTAAGAGGGGCATTATTCAAGGAGATGCATGGAAAGCTGACCCAAAAGCCACTGACAGCATTTTGGGGAAATGACGACGTTGTCACATAAAGTCACATGTCACATCACATGCTATTTTGGTTCTGCATAAATCTATAAATGCATATGGTTTTGGTGTCTCCCAACCATATGCATTGTGAGATAGTCAACTGTACCTCAGTTGTATGCAGCAAGAGTAGAATATCTGAGGTATCATATAAACTATGGCAAGGCTTTTATATGAAAAACTGTAAGGACAGGAGTATGTATATAAAAGATTAGTAATAAGTAGAAAAAATATGGAATGGCAGAAACTCAACATCAAGGTGCAGATAACCTCCAATACTCCTCCCCCTTCCCTCTCTCCTTATCTGTACTACACCCCCATTGAAATATTGAGGTCCATGAGGAAACTGTAGTGTGAGTCACAAGAGAGTGGCTTAGTAAACATATCTGCCAAGTTTGTGTTTCCTCAGATGAACTGGATGTGAAGAGAACTATTGCTAACAAGCTCATGGATGTAGTGTTCATGAATACAAATATGTTTGATCTTGTGATATGATCTAGTGTTCATTGTCAAGGCCACTGCTCTCTGGTTATCACAATAGAGGATCACAGACTTTGGTTGGAGAAGTTTGACCTTGGCCATTCAAGTCATCATCCACATCATTTGTTGCACAATCCTGCTGAGTGCAATGTACTCAGCCTCAACAGTAGATAGTGTGACAGAAGCCTGGCACTTTGAACTCCAAGTGACAGACCCTTCAGATATCATGAAAATATATCTTGAGATAGACTGGATAGTGTCATGGCATTCCACATAGTCTGCATTGATAAAACCAACAGATGTCAGTGGTTGGTCACATGAGAAGAGGAGTGTATAATCCATGTTTCCCTTGATGTATGTGACAATATAGAGTAATGCTTTTCAATGGTTGAGTCCAGGATTAGTCTGGAAACATGCAAGAAGCCCAACAGAGTAGCATAAGTCAGAGCAAGTTGCAAGCTGGCCTCACATAACTTGCCTGAGGAGATGACAG